GTTTACCTTTTTGTTATTAAATATTTGTTTTGGATAGCTTCAGTCTTGACTTTCTTAGCAGGTTATGTATTCTTTTTTTAAAAAAAATTATTAATTGCAACAAAAATTTACAGAGACTTTGGATTTCCATTCATTCATTGTTGCACTTTTCTCCCCTCCCAGCCCTCCCCGCTAGTATACTACTCTCTTGGAAAAGTAAAAGAAAAATCCTTTCATTGTTTTACAAACCCTCCCCTAGGTCCACTCCACTAATGCAGCCTTCGCTCTGGACTCCTGTCATGACAAAAATACCTAATCACATATCCCTCTTAAACAGTTTTCTCCCTCATCTGTTTCAATACAGTATTATTGAGCCCATCTTTCTCAGTCTCCCCCCAACCCCGATGTCAGTCCTATTTTACAACAGTGGCACCATGCAGTATTTGTCCTTTTGTGACTGAGATAACTTCATTCAGCATAATGTCTTCCAGGGTCACCCATTTTGAATATATTACATGAGTTCCTTGTTTTTCAATGCAGTGCGGTATTCCATTGTTTGGATATACCATAGCTTCTCTATCCATTGATTTGTTAATGGGCACTTGGGTTGTTTCCAGCTCCTTGCTGTTGTGAACAAAGCCGCAATAAACATAGGTGTGCATATACCTGCTTGGATGTCAGTTATGGTCTCTTTGGGGTATATTCCCAGTATGGTAACTCTGTTTGCAACTTTTTGAGAAAATGCCATACCGCCTTCCACAGTGGTTGCACCATTTTACACACTGACCAACAATGAATAAGGGTTCCAGTTTCTCTGCAATCTCACTAGCATCTGTTGCTTGCTGTTCTGTTAAATTTTGCTATTCTGACTGGGGTCAGATGATACCTCATAGTTGTTTGATTTGCATCTCTTTTAGAGCTAGGGATTTTGAACATTTCTTCATGTGTTTGCCTGCCATCTGAATGTCTTCTTCGGTGAAGTGTCTGTTCATATCCTGTGTCCATTTTTCAGTTGGATTATTTACCTTTATCTTGTTATGTATTCTTTAAACCCACTGACTGTATTTTAATTCTATTAACATGGCTTGGTCATTTATGTAAGATCCTAGCATAGAATTCCTTAGCTTAATATGCAAGATTCTACTCTTGACCCTTTTTTCTTTGAACTTTACAATCTTTACTGCTTAAATCCAGTTTCAGAAATTATCTCCCACCCATCCCAGAATAATAGTTGGCATCTTTTAGGTGCTAGATAAATGTTTGCTGTATTCATAGAGGGAAAATGCTTTGCTATTTTAATCTTTTGTTTTTAAAATTAGTTGCCCTATACATAGCTCATGGGTCAGTAAGACGGTAAAATTGACTTGCTGTTTAGACCTCCTTTTCTTTTCTTTTTTTTTTTTTATTATTTGTGCGTGTGTGTGTACCGTCAAATCAGATCTGACTGGTACAGGAGGAGATTGTCCCTCCTTTCCCGGCATAGCATCTGGTGGATCCGAACCGTGCTCCTCTGGGATTGCAGTGTAGCTTCTTGCCACTAGGCCACCAGAGCTCCCCAGGCCTCCTTTTCTAGTCATTCCTCACCCCCTCAAGCACCTACCTCTGAATTTTATTCAAAATGCAAGTATATTCAAAATATGTTTTCCATTCAACAGCTGACATTTTATTTTGTGACATTAGTTGCTTGATGCCTGTTTTTAATTAAGTGATGCCTAATGAGGTCGTTTACTCTATACAGATTTCAGCTGCAGAGGGAGAACATACACTTAACATTGGTTTAACTGGCCTAGTGGTAAGGACCTGCACTGCCAACCTGAAGGCATTATTAGTTTTGAATCCACCAGCTACTCAAAGGGAGAAATTGGACAGTCTCCTGTGCAATTTATTGCTTGTGAAAATCCACTTGAGGGTCAGCTGTGGGTCATTTCCAACTTAACAGTACCTAACAATAACAGCTAAATAAAGTGGTTTCTCACCCCCCCCCCCAAAAAAAAGTGTAAGATAGACCCTTCCTGCAACTGTTTCCAGGACCCTGACTGTTACATGCTTGTAATCCTTGGCTCTTGTGGCTTTCCATTATCGTATTTATTATGTTTGCAAGATGGATGCTCAAGGTCTGACGTTCATTCCAGGAAGGAGATTGAATAACTTCAGCCAACCTGATTGTTTTTATCAGGAAAGTGAACCCTCTCAGCAAACCACAGCTAAATCATTGGTCACCAGTTGCAAAAATAAGGTGCAAGTGGGCATTTGACTTTCTAGTCAACTAATGAGAGACAGCTAGAGAAAGGGAATTGAGAATGGTTTTTGATAGCTCTTTAGACTAATTTCTGCTTCATTGTTCCATTTCTCTCAAGCTCTGTGAATAGGATTATACAGTATAGTTTCTAAACTATGAGGTCTTTTTCAGCTAATAGTTTTGAAGTACCATATTATAATGTTAAGGGGTTTGTTCTGGGGTCATGATTGTTTTGTTTATTAGGGTTTTGTTTATTAGGATTCATCTTCCTTCCTTTACTCTAGAAGAGACTAGAGAGCAAATAGACACTTGTTTGTAAATATCTAGAAACTCCTTGCTTGTCTACATTTTTGTTATATCGATGTAATTGAGCATTTTTAAAGAAAATCATACAACCTAGAAAATACACAGAGCTATATCAACTAGTCCCTCAAAACTGCCTCCCAGACTTACATCATTTTTTTTCCCCTTTTTTCTTACTAGGCTCTCTTTTGAAGTACCTGTTTTCGTGCTTTCTCTACGTCTTCCCCCAAAACTTGCTTCTATAGTCTTTTTATTTCATACATAACTTTTTATTGTACTTTAGAAAGAAAATTGAAACCATAATAACTAATTATAATTTCCAAAGCCCTAGGAGCCCTCGTCCCATGCAAATGGTTAAGTTACACTCTGTTAACTGAAAGATTGTTTTTTGGTTTTTGTTGGTTTTTTTGTTGTTGTTTTTTTAAAGATTGTATTTTTAACCCACCCAGCCAGAGGCTCTTGGGAGGACAATTCTGGTGATCTCCACCGGCCTTGAAAATCCTATATAGCAGTTTTACATTACGTACAAGGGAGCTGGAGTGACTTAGTGGTAAGGAGTTGTATTGCCAGCCTAAAGGTTTATAGTTCGAGTCCAGCAGCTGCTCTGAGGGAGAAAGATCATCATTCTCCTCCCATGCAATTTACTGCCTCTGAAAACTTGCTGGAGGGTCACTGTGAGTCTGTTCACAACACAACAGTGCAGAACACTGCAGCAGCATTCTACACACATGGGGTTGTCATGAGTCACAATCTACTTGATGACAAGTTAGATGTTCCAAATCAAGAACCTCCTTTTGCATAATTTTTTTTCTGTTTGAACAGGCGTATTCCTTCCTTTGATGCCAAGATGGGCCTGAACTTTTGTATAAGTGAGTCATACTTTGTATCAAGGTCATGTTTATACAATGTAGGGTTGAGGTTTAAATCTTTTTATTAATAACCATGTAACAAACCCAGGGTCTCTAGCAGTGAACTGTTGTTGTTAGGTGCTTTGAGTTGACTGTGACTCGTAGCAACCTTATGAACAAGGGACTCTAACCCCTACTCTGTCCTGCACCGTCCTCTTCACCTCTGCTTACTTGAGCCCATTGTTACAGTCACTGACTCAGTCCATGCCATTGAGGGGAAGACACTCAGTAAGATGAATTGACATAGCTAGGTGCTACCCATTCTTCAATCTTTTGGTTCCCAACTTAAATGTACCTTTCTCAAGAGGGTCTCTAGGTAATGTGTTTCTGCTTGACTCCAGTTCTCTGATTATATGCCTTCATAACATGCATGCGTGAATCAGCTTTCTAGTTATTTACCTATCTCAGTCATTATTAAATTCCACTAAAGCAGAATAAGTCTACCTTTTTTCATCATTGTAGCTGATACATGACATTCAGCAAATATTTATTAAATTAATGAGTGAAAAACTAACAACAGTAAACAAAAACAACAACAAAGACAAACACACACACACTACACACTTGAATAGTAGAAGGAGCCCTAGACTAGAACATCGATCTGGTTATTAGTACTGTCATCAATGATTTATAGTTTTCAGGTTTCTCATTTTCTTATCTTTAAAAAAAACTGGCATTGAAAATAAAATCTCAGTACTTAGAATGGGTACACATTAAATACACATTCATTCGGTTATATATTTTGTGTTTAGCATAGCTATGATTATGGTACAAGAGTCAACGTGGTGTGGTGAGTTAAGCATTGGACTACTAAGTGAAAAGTTGGTGATTTGAATTCACTAGTTACCCTGCAGGGGAATGATGAGGCTTTCTGCCCCCGAAATTTACAACCTTGGAAACGCTGCAGAACTCTTCCACTGCTATAAATTTGGACTGAATCAATGACAGTGGATGTAACTTTAATTTTACTGTGCTGATAATGCCAACAAATACATCAAAGATGAACAGGCATCCTTGTTTTTATGTCATTTATATTATTATGGATTTTCACTTGGTGAACTCTGAAGTTTCTTCCAGGAGCGTTGATAGTACAGTGCTTAACACCTCAGCTACTAACCTAAAGATTGATGTGAACTCAGTAGCTGCTATACTGAAGAATGATGTGACAATTTGACAGTTTGCTGTTTTAATGAATTTTCAGCCTTGGAAACCCTAGGGGAAGTTTTACTCTTATGGGGTCTCTAGTGATGTAGCGTATAGGGAGATGCCCCGTTAACCAAAAGACTGCACCTTTCTGGTGGTTTGAATCCTCTAGTGGCTCCAAGGGAGACAGCTGGGCCAGTTCCTGTGTGATTTATAGTTGCAGAAACCCACTCTGAGTCAGCATTAACTTGACAGCTGTGGGTTCAGGTCTCTTGCACTCATTCAATATTCAAAGTCATGAAGTAATAATACATAGTAGACGTTCATCCTGTTGGTTAAATAAATGGTGGTATCGTTAAGAGAACTTAAAAATGCTCATTCACCTTTAATTTAAGTCAAAACATTTTAATTTTGTTTTCATTTTTCAGTCAAAGCCTTATGCATTTGATCGGGTATTCCAGTCAAGTACATCTCAAGAGCAAGTGTATAATGACTGTGCAAAGAAGATTGTTAAAGGTAAACATATTTAACCTAATGAATTGTTCTAACAATAAGTAAAACTTTGAGTGTTACAATTATAATATTGTATAATTATTCTTGAAAGATGTGTTTATATTAAATACTGCCATGAGCTTTTCTGTGGTAACAATTCTAGAAATTAAACATTAGAATGAAAAAAAGAATGGCTAGGCCTCCCTTCCTTATTTCCTTTCAGGGAAGGAGGTCTTTTCCTTTGGGAATGTAACTTAGTAATAAATCTGTCTTTACTATTTTACCTTAAAAAAAAAAAAAAAGGAATGGCTAGATAAGTTTAGATGGCTTTCTAAAAGGAGAGATTGACAGTCTTTACATTTCTCCATTCCATTGTTACTCAATCCCCAAATATTTATTTAACACTAATTACCACGGATGATAAAAGTATGTGCATTCCAGTTAGAAGACCCTTAACAGGATGGATTGACACGGTGCCTGTAACAATGGGTTCAAGCATTTTGGAGATCTTAAAGGCAGCAGAGGATAGGGCCGTGTTCAGATCTCTTGTTCATAGGGTCACTGTGAGTCAGAGTCGACTTGACAGCACATAACTGTTAATACTATGTTAGGAAAAAAATAAGTTTCTGTTTTTTCTAAAGCCATGGAACCACGGAGATGTGATGAGTGTTAATTATCTGGAGTTATTTCTAGTTGCTATAGATTTTATCTAAGGAATTTTACAATTAAATAGCAGCTGTTTTATTTATAGTTTTATTCCATTTTTCAACAGCTTAATTTCTTAAGAGTATCTTTTAGATTTAGAAAAATTTATCAACATCTGTTTTGTGATATTCGGCAGGAGTAAGGAGTAGATACTTGGTATAAAAGTAAAGTGGTTGGTATTAGATATGGCAGAAGGTAGTTCAGCTTAGCAGGAGAGAAAGCAGAGTTTAGCCATACATGTAGGATTATAGATGTGATCAAGGGAAAATACAGATGTTCTCTTTGTAACTATGTTTTGCCTCATATAGGGAATAAAATCATTGCAGAGTGATGAAGATGGGGATGTTGCAAATAGAAGGGAGTAGATTATAGATGACAATGGGGTAAAAGGCTTTTAGGGTTTTGTTGGTTGGTTTTTTTGGTTTTTTTGTGTTTTTTTTTAACCAAGGCACTTAAAGTAATAGGGATGGGTACTTGGAATTAAAATATAGACACAGCGGCGTTAGTAATGAAAAGTTCTAGCATCTGAGCATGGGATTTGGTGTCTAGGATTATGGAGAAATGAAATCAGGGATGTGCGTGATGCGGTACTTTAGTGGAATCCTCTACCTCATAAACATTGAAATCATTAATTATTAACAAGAATGATAGGATTTTTTTTTTTGTGGTTCTATAAATGACTAACAGCAGCAGGCAGTATCACCTAAGGTTGTAGCTTCAAATTATATCATGATTGTGACATAGTTTTGTCCTCACAGGTTAAGATTATGTTTGTGTTACATTTACATAATATAGTTTTACTATATTAAAATATAAAAAATACATAAAATATAACAAAAATATAATTTAACCACTTTAAAGTGAGATGAACTTTGCAGTGAGATTAATTACATTTATCACAGTCTGTAACTGTCTAGTTCTAAAAACTCTTCATCACAGAAATTCAGTAGTAAATCCCTAAGCAGTAACTTGCTATTTCTCCTCTCCATTTGACTCTGGTAAGCATTAGTTAACTTTTATCTCAGGTTAGTTTACCTTTTAGATCTTTTTTGGTTACCATAGTCATTATACTTAATATCCTAAATTTATAACAATATAGTTTAAATGAATAGCATTTTAACTTTGGTAACATACAAAACTGCTAATCACAACTCCCCTCCCTTATGTCACTGTTAACAAATGACATGCTTTTATATTGTTTCTCATAACATTCAGTTATAATTCTTTTTTATGCATTTGCCGTTAAAATCATGTAGTCTACAACCAAGCTAGTGACAAACTAAAAGTATAATATAGCTAGCCTTTATGAAATTGCCTTTACTGGACATCTATTCCTGTGGACTCAGATTAGTGTCTGGTATCTTTTTCCTTATCATGAGAAGGGCTCCATTTGGGATTTCTTATGGGGCAGGTCTCATAAAAAATTCCCTTAGGGTTTTTTTTTATGTGACATGTTTTAATTTTACCACCATTTTATTTTAAGAACTATTTTGCCAGACACAGTGTTTTTGATTGTTGGGGTTTTTTTTGTTTTTTGGTTTTTTTCAGTTGAGCACTTTATATGTCAACTTACAGCATTCTGATTAACATAGTTCTGAGGGGGAAAAAATTAATCTTCAGGGAGCTCCAGTGGTCTAGTGTTTAGAAGCTGTGCTGCAATCCAAAGGTACACAGTTCAAATCCACCAGTTGTTCCACAGAGGAAAGATGAGCAGTCTCCTCCTCTCTAATTAACTACCTCTGAAACCTACCAGAGTGTCAGCCATGGGTTGATTCCGACCTGATGGTACACAACAGCAACAGTCTATTGAGGACACTTGAATGCAAGGATTGGTTTCTCTCCTTTCAAGATTCTTTGTCTTTGACTTTTAAGTTTCGATTATAATGTATATCATTGTGGATCTCTTGTCTTCATCCTAATTTGGGTGTTGATGTTTTTTCTTTGACCTCCTTGAATGTGTTAAGTCTTGTCAAAATTGGGAAGTCTTGGCCATTGCTTGATTTCTTGAAATATTGTTTCTGGCACACACTCTTAACTTTTACTTTTGGGACTTTTGTAATGCAAATTTTGTCTACTAGAAGCTCTTAAAGTTCCTAGGAGTTCACAGGCTGACAAAGAGTGCAGACAGTTAAAAACAGTTATAACAATAGTTCATGGAAAATGGAATTCTTACTCAGATTTACTTGGTGGTCAAACTGACGATGGAAGAAAAACTAAAGGCTGAACTAGTCTTAAAGGATTTACAGGTGGAGCAGGAAGGAGAAGAGAAGGGTGTTTTCCTGGCAGAGGTATGACACATAAGAACTAAGAAGGCATGCTTGTATGAAAAAGTATGTCTTATACATGGGGAAGATAACGTTAAGGAATGACTATTACGTTGCACTGTCAGATCTCACCATTCTTACCAACAAAAACAGTAATTTCATATGGTTCAACCCAATAAAATAGAGAATATGAGGAGAAAGGTGGTCAGAGATAGAAGTGAAAAATAGCTGGGTCAGAAAATCCCAATTTTATCTGATTGCCAATGTTTGGTCTCTGGGATTTTTTTTTTTAATATGTATTAGAATCATTTGTATTGTTTTAAAGCTTACACGTAAATATATCAGCTTTACCTTAAAAGGTGGAAAAACCTCCAAAACATACCTTTAATTAATAATATGCATGCTAAAATATTTATTGGGCAGTATACTGATGCCTATAGTGTACTTTGTAATACATTATTTTAAAATGTGGTGACTGGTTAGAAGGTTGGATAGAACAAAATGATAAAATGTTAATAGTAGGATCTTTATGGGGATTATAGATATATTCCTATAATCAACTCATTTACCATTCCTGTGTGTTCACAAAAGTTTGTAATAAAATGTTAAGAGCCAATTGCTTCAGAAAAGCAAGTCAGGAGTAGATTAGACAATGAAAAGGAAACTATTATTTTTCTAAATGACAACAGTAGTAACTTTATAATGATAATTTATCTAAAAGTCACCTATATTTCCGTTGTTATATACCATGGAGTTGAAACTGACTCAGAACTGAGGTTATCAGAGGCAGTAAATCACATGGGAGGAGAGTGCCCAATTTTCTCCTATAGAGCAGCTGGTGAATTCTAACTGAATGTACGGGTTGGCAGTTCACCACCTTACCAGTAGGCCAGCAGAGCTCCATAAAAAAATCACCCATGTTAACCTCTAGATCCCTTTCCCATAAGTTCTGAACATTGGTGGTTGTAAAAAGAGAGAAAGTAATTGAAACTGACTTCCTGTGCTGCTTCTAGCATTAGAGTTTGTATCAAACAATTAAAAAAAAATCACCCATGTTTTTGTTATGTACTGTTGAGTTGCCTGCAACCCTATATACAGTAGCTCTGAACCCTATCCTATCCTGAGCCATTCTTTCTGTCTCCAGCACACCTGCCTCCGTTACTTTGTCAGTCCATCTCATCAAGAGCTTTCCTCTTCTGTGCTGTTTCTCCACCCTTCCAAGCATGATGTCCTCCAAGAACTGGTCCCTCTTGGCAGCATACCCAAAGTATGTTAGATGGAGCTTCAATACTTTTCTCTAGCACCACCATTCAAATACATGAATAATGATTCTATCATTTTTCACCTTTGTCTAGTTCTCTGATGTATAGAAAGTATCTGTGAAGACCATGGTCACTTACTGACATTGTTGCCCTTTAGTGCTCTAGAGCACTCCCAGACAGTAAATTTTCCTACTGCAGTTCATCTTTTGATTTCCTGACCAAAAAGTGCCAAAAGTGGTGATTATGGAACCAGGCAAGCTGAAATTGTGAACAATCTCAATTTCATCTCTATCTGTTATGGTGCTGCCAGTTGACCCAGTGGTGAGAATGTTGGGTTTTTTTGATGTTGAACTTCAATCCATAATGGAGACTTCAGTCCTTGACCTTCTGCAGCAAATACAGGTCCTCCTCCGTTTCAGCAAGCAAGGTTGTGTCATCTGCATTATGCAGGTTGTTGATGAGTCATCTAATCCTGATGCCACATTCTTCTTCATAAAGTCCAGCCTCCCTAATATTCTGTTCTGCATATAGATCAAAAAGGTATGAAGATAGGGTACATCTCTGCCACACTCCTTTCTTGATTTTGAACCATGCAGTGTTTCTTTGCTTTGTTCTCATGACTGCTTCCTAGTCAAAATATCAGTTTTGTATGAACACAACTGAGCATTCTGAGTTTTCCATTCTTATCAAGTTTAGCCACAATTTATTGTGGATCCACATAGTCAAATTCTTTTGCATAGTCAATGAAACACATATAGATATTCCTCTGGTACTCTGCTTCCAGCCAAGATCCATCTAGTGTTGGCTATGATGTCCCTGGTGCAACAGCCTCTTCCACATCCAGCTTACTCTTCTGGCAGTTCTCTGTTGATTAACAGTTCTGGTGGTTTTGGGATAATCTTTGGCAGAATCTTCCTTGAATGTGGTATTAGTGATATTGTTCAATAATTTCTGCACTCTGTCAGGTTATCTTTGAAATGGGAACAAATATGAATCTTTTCTAGTCAATTGGCCAGGTAGTTAGCCTCCATATTTAGCAGCACAATCAGGGGAGCACATCCAGGGCAACATCAGTTTGCTAAAATAATACGAGTTGGTATTCCATCAATTCCTGGGGCTTGATTTTTTTGCCAGTTCCTTCAGAACAGCTTGAACTACCTCCTTCATCGCCATTGCCTCTTGGTCATGTTTCATCATGTTCTTCTGTGTCGGCCAATTCTTTTTGGGACAGCGACTGAGAGTGACTTCTTTCATCCTCTTCTGATCCTTTCTGGATCAATCTTCTGCCTGTAGTATCCTTCAGTATTGCCACTTGAGGCTTGAATTTGTTCTTCAATTCCTTCAGCTTTAGAAATGCTAAGCAAGTTCATCTCTTTCGATTTTCTCTTAACTCTTTGCACATTTCATTATAAGACTTTTCTAAAAATCAACAATAGTCATTGTTAAATGCTCTGTGTTGGAGTAGAAAAACCTAGGTCATAGTGGGTATTCAGTAAATATTTGGTAAATATTTTACAATCTTTGTTATCATTTAAAATGGTAAATTCCCAAATAATAGGTATAAATATACACACACACACACACACACACACACACTTCTTTTCCTAGGAACTTTTAGCATTATTAATAGTTTACATATGCTGATGGTGGGAAATCCACTCAGGTCATAAGTCTGTTACTGAGCACCTGCTATGTCAGTTGCTGGATAATTCAGTCATATATAAATCTCTTCTAATGTATTTTTCATTTTTATGATAAAAATACAACAAAACATTTGCCATTTCACCATTTTAAAATATATGCAGTTCATTAATAGCAATACATCATGTTTTTTGCCATTATCACCACTCAAAATTTTTTATTTTATGCTTTGATTCTTTGTGATCAAAGATAAAAATATAAAGTGAACAATTAGAAGAGATTATTGCTTCCTTTTTAAAAAAATTTTAGAATTACTTAAAGTATTGCAATTCTGTTTTCAAGTATGATTCATAAGCTTCATTTTGCATTTCTTTTCATAAAGTAAAATATATTATGAATGGAAGTTTCAAATATTTATATTTTCTTAAAACTCAAGGAATGCTACCTTCTGTTTTTGTTTTGGGGTTGGGTTTTGTTTTTAGGAACTTTTTCTATGTTTAAATTGTGCTTAGTCTTTTTTTGGGGAAATAAATCAGTTAAGAAAACCTCAGTATGAAGAAAAGGCTTTGAGATCTCTTTGAGTTAAAAACAAACAAAACCAAAAACACCCCTTGGGTATTTCCTTGTTTGCTGCTTTACTTTTCATTGTTTAATTTGCTGTTTTCAAAACAAGCTTTATTTTTTGCTTTAGGCTAGAATATAATTTTATAGGGCTTTCCTTGTCACTAAAACTAGAAAAATGAAAATCCCTGAAAACTGGAAATCAAAACATTACTTTGGTCTTCTGTTGCATTCTCTCTTGTGAGTTAACCCTGAAGCACAAATAGGACTGTTGTTGCTGTTGTTTTACTATTACATACTGTGAGGAGACTAAAATTCATAGACCCTTTGAACATCCACTCTGAACCTTGTCCTATCGCCATCACACTTGACCCATTGCCACAGCCACTGTTTCAGTCCATCTCATCCAGGGTCTGCACTGCTCTCTACCCTTTCAAGCATGATACCCTTCTCCAAAGATTGCCCCCTCCTTGACAACATGATCATAGTATGTGAAATGGAATTTCAGAATTCTTGTGTTCATGTAGCAACCTGGCTTTACCCTCTCCAAAACAGACCTATTTGTTTTCTTGGCTATCCATGATATATTACTCTTCTCCAATACCACAACTCAAAGGCATGAGTTCTTTCACTTTCCAGCTCAGACGCATAACAAGCAATGGAGAAGACTGGGGCTTGGATCAGGCACACCTTAGTCTTTAGACTAACTTCATTGCTTTTAAGTACTCTGGAGAGGTTCTTGACTGCAGATATTTCCTAGTGCACTTGGCTTTTGAGTTCCTGACTTCTGGTGCTAGGTGTGTTGATTGTGGATCTGAGCAAGATAATATTGTTAACAGCTTCATCTATCATGATGCAACCTGTTGGCTTGATGGTGAGGATTTTTCCTATTGTTGAGATGCAGTTCATATTGAAGGATGCATGCAGTCTGTGATTTTCTGCAGCAGGTGCCTCAAGTCCTTCTCAGATTGAGCAAGCAAGGTTGTGTTATCTGCATAATACAAGTTATTGATGAGTCCTCCTCCAATCCTGATACAACATTCTTCATGAAGTCCAGTCTCTAATCTGTACAGTATATAGATTGAAAATATGTGGAGAAAAGATACATTCCTTTCCTGAATTTGTATAAAGCATTTGTCCCTTTGGCTGTGTTTGGACAGCAGCTTATTGGTCTAGATGCAAGTTTTGCATGAGCACAACCAAAGTGTTCTGGCATTCCCCTTCTTTTCAGTGTTAGCCACCATTTGTTCGTACTGTCTGCTGTCAGCAATGATGTCCCTGGTGTCTTAGCCTCTTAAATTTTTGGCAGTTTTCTTTCAGTGTACTGTTCTAGCTGTTTTTGCATAATCTTCAAGATTTTGCTTGTATGTGATATCAGTGATAATTGTTTGATAGTTCGCACACTCTGTTGGATCGCCTTTTTTAGGAATGGGAACAAATCCGGATCTACTTCAGTCTATTGGCCAGGTTGCTGTACTCCAGATTTTTTTGCAAAACCTGATGAGCACTTCCAGGGCAGCATCTGTTTGTAGAAATATGTCTATTAGTATTTCATCAATTCCTAAGCCCTTATTTTTTGCCATTTCTTTCAGTGGAGCTTGAACTTTTTATTACCTTTGGTTCTTGATCATATGCTACTTCATGAAATGGCTCTGTATCAGCCACTTGTTTTTGGTACAGTGACAGATACTCCTTCCATCTTCTTTTGATGCTTCCTGGATTATTCGGTATTTTGCCTGTTAGCGTCTTTCAGTACTGCAAGTCAAGGTTTGAATTTGTTCTTTCAGTTTGAGAGATGCTTAGCAAGTTCTTCCCTTTTGATTTTCTAGCTCTTGGCACATTTTGTTATAATACTTTGCTTTGTCTTTGTGAGCGCCACTTTGAAATTTTATTTTTTTTTTAAGTTTCACTACACTT